ACAAGATTGCCTAATCTGAAGAGGTCATTCCAATGGGAATACCAAATCAACTCAATTCATTTAACCAATGGCGCCTAGGTGCTTGATTGATTCATAGGAAGTGAGGGACTAATGTGGAGTGTAGACTCAAGCATACCTCGTGACAAGTCTACGGTGTATCAAGAACTCACGACCATGTCCGCACTCAACCTAGTCAAATCAAGCACTTTACACTATGAGGTAGAATGGAGAATAGTTGATTTAGCTTACCCAAGAGGAAGTTCCCCTTAGATTAGCCAACAAGAAGCTTAGCTACTCATATTTCAAGTAAAAACATTCATAATGTAAAGAGACATGTACATGAAATGGATTGCAAATAGAGATGAAATGAAGCTTAAAACTTGTATTAATACTAGGAGAAGGTAAAATACAAAGGAGAATTCAGTTCATACCAAAATGGAAAACTTAAAGACAAAACCCAGTTGAAAATATAAAAGTGTAAGAACCTTGAATTAAACTTGATTACTAATTCACACTTTTTCATGATCGGATTAATATTATACACCCAAGTATAAATGGTCGAATTGTAGTTTTCTCAGTTTTAAGTCCAAGTATTGATCTCATGAAGAGTTTTAATAATTTGGAAATGAAATAAAAATAGTTAAGTTGTTAATTCGAATAGAACAACATGTGATAGCTTATGATGTGAGCTTAGATTGATAATTAGTCTAAGTAAACGTTTATATTTAGATAGATTAAGACAATAATAAAAAGTATCCTTCAGTTTAAGGATCCCATACGTGTTATATTGGTCTAGTACTGAAAATGCTACCTTACATCAATTAACTTCCATGTTACTTGCAAGTCAAATGGTAGGTCTGATGTATGTTAACCCTCGCACAACAACTTCTTAGGTTAGTTGGTGGTATTCATGACAATTAATTAATCCAAGCAAACTAGAAGGACAAGCTATTCATGAGAAATACTTGAATTATTCAATTGACTTCATAATAGTAGGTGCGTACATAATAAACCATAACACAACTACTTCTTAGGTTAACTGGTGGTATTAAGTCATAACACAACAATTTCTTAGGTTAGCTGGTTATAGATGTGCCAACTGACTAATTCGAGTAAACTAGAAGGATAAGTCATTTATGAAAAATACTTGTATTATTCAATTGGCTCCATCTGTGATACATATACCAGTTAAACATCCTTAGCGTTTCAGTGGAGGATAAACCATTCTGGTAGGAATGTCATAGATATTCGACTGGGAATATTATCATTTATACCAGTTAAATGATCTTAGTAATCCAGAAAGACAAGCCATTCATGAGGATCACTTAGGTCATTAATTTGATAGTTACATATAATAGTTAAACAACCCTAATAACCCACAAGAACAAGCTATTCATGAGAATCATTTAGGTTTTGTACCATGCATCAGTTAACATCCTCAGCGTTCCAGTGGAGGATAAACCATACTGATAGAAATGCCATGGTTATTGTACCGGTAGGTTGATGATGCACTGATGACATAATTTCAGGCACAACACCGAAATTACGTACATCACTGTATCATGCATGAAACATATAATACATAGATATATAAACATATAAAACATTAGCATTTCTGGAATTTAACTAGTATTATACATATGTTTACCTGTCACTAAAGGATATAAGTAACTACTCACGCCTCATTGCTACAAACAAGCAAGGAGTATGACCATTTTTCATTATAACTGAAATTAAAATATAAATTCTAAAACTTCTTTCACAAGGAACAACTGAAACACAACTACCTTATTATCAATTAAGACAAAAAGGTGATGGTAGTTCAACTATCTGAATAGAAAGATACAACAGAAATATAGAAGTACAGAGTTTGGACTGAAGTGTATGATGGACCAGATTGAGTTACAAGTTTTTCTTTCTCTTTTTTTTNTTTGGACTGAAGTGTATGATGGACCAGATTGAGTTACAAGTTTTTCTTTCTCTTTTTCTTTTCTTCTTTCTCTTTTTTTTCTTTTTCTCTCTTAAACTTTTCTGGAGCTCTTGGTGTTCGGACTCTTGAAAATGGAGATGAAGGCCCCTTTATATAGTAGAGAATAAAGCATGACATGGGTGGATGATGATGAGTCGCCAAAGGGGACCGTCCGGACGCCATCACCACCTTCCGGACGGTGGGATCTTGCTGGAATTTCCACTTGCATGCATGCTGACTCATTACTTGTTGAAATTACACTTTAGCCTTTGTTGTTTCAAGTTTTTATACATTGCTCCTTGCATTCTCTGGTAATTCAGCATCAAAACCTGAAAATTTTAAACATAACACACATAAAACCCTAATTACGCACAAACCCTAATTGACTCTAATTAATAGTTTTTGGTTATTTTATTTTACTAATTTGACTTATTTAACTATTCTGATTTATATACTAATTAAGGTTAATCAATTACACTTGAAATAAAGGAGATTATAATGCAAGAAATGAAGATTACCAGTGAAATATAACTTACTACAACTGAAATGGGTGAGGAAATTGCAAAAATCTAAGCTTTCTCTCTCTAAACTATGTTTTCTATCTTGGGAGCTTTTCCCTCTAAAAGTGCTGAATAATGGTTTGTAACTCTTTGCATTTTCATCCATGAGGCTCCTATAGCCTGTGTGTGCAGGCTTCCCATTAATGGGAAGTGAGTTGATGGCTTGGACATGCTAGGACAAGCCTACCCAACAATCACCATGTCTCCCTTCTTCTCTCTCTTCCTTTCCCTTACTAAAACCTCCAAAGTCACATTTGTAGTGTAGATAGGTATGGCCATAGGTAGAACATGCCAGGGTAGGTGTGGGAGAAGCATAGGTGGGCCCCCCAAGTTGGTAGAGTTTAAGTTGCAGGTGTCTGGCGTTTCTAGGCCAAATCCTCCGAAAGGTTTTAAGGGGGATGCAAGCTCAGGACTAGTTTTCATAAATTTGTCATTATTTTTGATCCCACCATCTCATTGAGTTGCAATTTTGACACAAGATAGAGGACATCCGATCTACAACTTTCATGTTGTCACTTTTTCAGATTCTAAATGGATCATGGTCCAAAATGGGGAAAACCGAGGTGTTGCTACCTGTAACATCAAAAATTTAACATTATTCATAAATTTGGCTAACTCTAAGTAATTAAATGCAAAGTTAAGTTAAATACATATAATGAGGCCGTTAAATTTACAATATTACGTGATCATCACATATCATATCACATGAATCATTACTTCTACCATTATTGACATAATGCACCAAGTGTCTACTTTTGGTCAGTCTGACAGATCACGTCGCGTCAACTACTCCCCAACCTTTTATTTTTTCATGGAGGCGACACGTATTGTTTAAACATGAAAGGCTTCCTTGTGAACTACTATGAAGTATTCCCGCTTTGACCTATATAAGGAATCCTCCTCTCATTGTTCTCATTCCTTAGGAACGACTATCCCTTCATCATCTCTACAAACAATCATGTGTTCGATTTTATTGTGTTCCAAGGTGTTTGCGTAGGCTTTCAACTATCGTTTGTAAACTTGTAAGTCTTCTTTGTATTTCAATTTAGGTCTTCTTTCTTCTTTTTTAGTTCTCCCCTCTTCTTCTTTTTTCTGTCACCTTCTCCATTAGAGCCCCAAGGCTAGCACTCGTAGAATTGTTACTCCCAGTGTTAATAGATCTCAAGAATCCAGGCTGAGGAAATATTAGATGAAGGGGATTCAACACGTAACCAACTTCAGAGCTTGTTTCTTGGTTTCCTTCAGTGTTACTATGGCCGAATTTTACCCTTTTATCCATAGTGATACGATGAGCTCGATCAAACTAATGCCATTTTATTCCAAGGCAATCGCCGAGGGGGGAATTAGATTCCCTCTTCACCCTTTTCTTCTCCATTTCTTAATGCATTTCCAGCTATTCCTCGGCCAATGTTGTCTTAATACCTTTAGAACCATCATGGGAGTCGTGGCGCTAAATGTTCAACTCCAAATCAACCTTAGTTTGACTGAGGTCCTTTTTTTGTTACACCCTTGTCAAAATCCCCTCCAACAAGTACTCTATTAAGACTCGAGACCCTAATATGTACTCCATTGTTCATTTTCTCGACTATGATAGAGGGTATTTACAAGACTTAGTGATAGTTGGGAGTTTAATGGAAGCGAGGTAATGGGCCCAAGTATCCTGGCCTATGGTGTCCCAAACTATGCAGGGCCATAGTTAATTATGCTCCATTTACAGTAACTGTTGAGTTCTCCCACCTGTTTTTTTTTGTGTCATATTCTTCATTTTTGTGCATAAATCAGTGAAAGCGAAGTTGCGTAACCTCCTCGGTGTGACATTGACTTTGATGCTATCCTTAAAGTTTGGGGCTTCTTAGGAACTGACAGTCTTAGTTGAGTAGGGCACGTGTTGTTGAGATACACATCTAGCTAAAAGAAATTTTCTCAAATCCCAAAATATTTTGATTCGATATCTTGGGGCATTAAAGTTTAGGGAAATCTTGAACAAGATCCTGATCGGGCCAGTAAAGAAGAATTAGAGAGGCCTTGTAGTGTCCTTGAACTTGATTTTGAATTGAGTACTTTTGATCAGGATGTGTGGCTAGATCGTCACATCCTGCAAACCCTTGACAAACAGGATGCCTTAGAGGTAGCCATGAAACCATCAACGTTGCATCACTTTAGTCGTCCATGAAGCACATTCAGCAAAAGCACGTTCGGGCTTAGATGGTTCATCCATTCAACCCCCCAAGGTACATGTAGCATCTTTTTCAGGGACCTCCTCAGGTCTCAAACTCTGCTTGCACCTACTCCTTGGGAACAAGGGGTCATCCGTCCTTTGGACAATACTGAACAAGAAGGAGAATGAAGGGTCGCCATGATCTGACAACTGGGATCATCCCTCTTTAGGTCACATCCCCTTGGGTCTCCCTTCCTCGGGTCACCCTCCTCAACTCAAGGACCAACTGCCGAATGTTCCTTCGTCCTAACAGGCTCTTGCTTCCCAAGTGGGTTTGGAATGGCATCCTCAGGCCACTATGAGGAAAGGAAAGGTGGTGATGAGCTCTAAATCCATCATCAGTTCCTTGGATGTCTCTTATGTTGTTAGCAATGCCTTGCACTTCGAAACCAACATGGAGCAGCACCAAGACCGCCTTGATAATGGCCTGATGTAAAGTGTCACCCAAAACTTGTTGCTGGTGAGTATCTTAGTCCTTACCTAAATTTTCCATTCCCTTATCGACTAATCGCATTGTTTCAGTCAGCATAACAAATGTCCATCAACTTTGGGTATATCGCTTAGTAAGCGATAAGGCCACTAAGGATTGCCAGCAACTGAAAGAAGACATCGTCTCTCGGGATAAGACTTTCGCCGCTCAATCCTAGTAGATCATCCAACTCATTCAAGAGAGCATAAAAAGAATGTTTGAGGCCCAACTTAAGTTATCCATTGTGAAGCTAAGCTCGTTGAGGCTGGGACAAACTATGCCAGTTTGATAGAACAAGTGGGGAAGTTGAGATTTGAGGCTGAGGAGAGATTGATGACAGAAGAAGAAACCATCCAAGAGTGTGAAGATGATGTGAGGGCTACCTTTAGAGATCTTAAGTTGAAGGCCTTCAAATAAGGATGGGATATCGCCCTTACTGCCGTGGGGGTTGCATTTAATTCTTTGTACCAACAATATATATACACTCCTTCCCTTGAGGTGGCAGAGGTGGATAAGTCTTCAAAAGTCCTACTTGCTCTTCCCCAGGTTAATCTTTTTGCTTTAGTGGCTCCGTTGGTGCTCGAAGTTCCCTCACCCCCGAGACTGACAATCCTTCAATTATATTGGTTCTCTCCTCAAAGATGACATAGTAGCTTGACGACATCCCTCCTTTTCTTGGCCATGGTGGAGTTTTGTTTTACTCGTATTTCGTTTGTTCGTAGTCTTCAATCCCCTTCTTTAGTTTCTACCTGAGGGACACAAAGTCCCCTTAACGAAATGTCCTTTTCTAGCCATCTTTTTCTTTTCGCATTCATGTTTTTTTGTTGGGGTCGACTTCCCCTATGGAGAATGACCCTTGTTGATCAATTGGTCATTTAGGATTTGAGCATTTCCATCTAAATCTCTCAACATGTAAGATCTGGATCCACTAACTGCCATAATCTGATAGGGACCTTCCCAACTAGACCCAAGCATCCTGTCGGCCAGATCTCAAGTGTTGTCTATGACTATCCCAAGCACTCGGTCACCCTCATAGAATTCTTGGGGGTGGACCCCTTGTGTTGTGGTTTGGTGATTTCTTCCTGATATCTTTCAAGTCGTATAGTCATAATGTTCTTCTTTCCTCTGATTGGTCGAGATCCCTACTTACCATTTTGATTGTTCATTCTGATATTAAACTGGGTCTCGTCACTAGATATTATTGCTCAGGGTACTATAAAACCAGGAAAAATTAAAACTTAATTAAAAGGGCAAAATGATAATTAGCCATTACGGTGCAGGTTGAAAACCTGAATTTTTATAGAACTCGAATGGCAAAATGGACTTACCTTTAGATTCATATCACAAAATTTGGATCTCCAATCAACTTTTTTTGAAATTTTGACACAGTCATGTTTTTTATGCATTACGAGGCGATCGAGTGTCGTGCGACTAAAATAAACGTGATCAAATTTTACTCGTGGGACCCAAGAAATAATTTAAATTTAGTTCAATAAAAATATACTAAACTTAACATGAGACGAGATTTAATTGATTTGGGATCAAATTGGATGGTCCTAAAAAAGGAAGAAGGTGTGGCGCATTGTAGGCCAAGTAGTTTAGGAGTATAAAAGGGGGAAAAATCAAATTTTCTCCTTATTGACTTCAGCCCATTTCTAAAAATTAGAGAGAGAGAGAGAGAGAAAGAGAGGGAAAAGAGAGAAAAAAACAAAACTCTCACATTCTTCCTCCAATCTACGACTATCCAACCATTAGATTGCTTCGGGTCAATAACTAAAGTTGCTCCACACGAAGAGAGCGACGTGTCCATACTAAAGATCATGAGTTTCACCAAAATCTCAAAGATGAAAAATTTAGGATAAAGCTTTGGAAGCTTGATTTGGGATCTTTGAGACTTCTCCTACGCGGATATATGCTACAAGAGATAGGGTTCCTTTTCCAACTAAGTTTATTTCCAACCGAGGGTTGTCTATGAAATGGATAAGATGATTAAAGACGAATTCTCTTGTTTAGCATATACCTAGTGTAGCTTGAATATGGAAAATGGTTATGAGAGTATGTTTAAACAAATTCTTGCATGATTTGGGTTTGATGAAAATGCTTGGTTTGGATTTCATGAATAATATGTTATTTGAGGATGCTATGTGTTTACATTTGTGGCTTATAGGTGTTTGATAAATGCCTATGGATGTTAAAGTGATCTGATTGAATGGAAATTGCTATAGCATGCTTAGTGATGTTATGAAATGTTATTATATGATTTAAGATATAATTGACATTTGAGAAAATTGGTTACGATTGTGGATAATGGATATGTTCATTATATGTCGTATGATATGATGACCGTGTGATAGAAATTGGAATTATACAATTTGATTGCATAATGACATGAAATGTACTTGTCATTACATTTGCATATGCACGGGTAACATCGCATTCGTGGACATTTGACAAGAGTGTGGGTGTGTGTGTTTGTTTTGATCAAACACCATCCTTGGTGGGTTGATATGCTGGCTTTGAAAGGTTGGACATAGGTTTGACTGAGTCACACAGGTTGCATTGAAAATATATGTTAGGGTTACTAAGAAGGGTGAGATTCTCACTTGGGTGCAAGAACCAATAATTTTGGATACGCACTCCCATTAGTATTGAGTCCATAAAATGTGACGGTGTACGCAGAACCGCTGGTGGAAGTCTATAGATGCCATGTCAGTTGGGTACGCGTTGTTGGAAGTCCATAAATACCCACCCCAAGAAAGACACAAGATTTTATAAAATTTTAATTGGATGTCTAACATTAATGGCGGGAGCTTGGAATGCTTTGATGAATACGTGTGACATATCATGTATTTTGGGAGTTGGTGGAGGGCTCGGGTTGCACTACATGTGTGAGTTCCACCTCATGACATGACATAAAATAGTAGCATTCATTTATGACATGTACTATTTGAATGGATGCTTTATTTGATGAATTGCATGTGACATTTCATATGCATATGGGTTAGGGAGTCTCTTCTTAGGAGTTACCTTATTGAGTGTGGCTCACCCTTTATGGGGACATATTTAAGGTATGGGACAAGCTTCGGCGGATGGCCTTCACTTGGGCCCGTGTTGAAGAAAGACCCGAGTTATGACTCTTAGATTACATGTTGTAATTTCATGTATATTTTATTTTGGCCTTGTATTAATCATGTACAAAAATTGTATTTTGACTAAGGTATGTAATTGGACATTATTCTTGTAAAACAAAGGGTGTTGAATGAGTTATTGGGTGAAAAGTCAAATTTTTCGGAGTTTGGAGAAAATCTGGGCTCTAGGTATCGGTACCTCACACGTACCTAGCATCCAAAGAGCTTAGGTACTGTTACCTAGATTCACAAATACTGGTACCCCAAAGATAATGGGCTCAAGTACTGGTACTTAGGCTCATAGGTACCAGTACCACTCTGTCAAGGGCCCAGATACCAGTACCATGACTTATAGATACCAGTACCTAGAAACCAGGGGGCTTAGGTACTGGTACCACATACTCGAGGTACCAATACCTTTTCCCAGAAACTGCAATTTGAAATGTAACATGGTTGACCCTTCACTTCTTGATCTCTCCTCTTTGGATGATATAAATGATTAAAATTTTAGCCTATACTTTGGGATGTGGACCTCAGAATGCTCGTATGATTACTGTATGCACATGGTACGTATTCAGAAGAGCTCCCATACAAAGGAGACTCTGTCTAAAATTTCATTTTAGTTATGATCCCAGTGAATGGGGTTTAACAACATTATACGGTACTCACAGATATTTTCACTGGTTGATAAGTGATCAACAGGTTGAGAAAGGCCCCTTAGATTTTGAGTCTTCACAGGTACACTGAACCATGTTACTATATTTCTCCATACAAACGTCTTCGTGTAAATGTCCCAAATATGGGTAAAAGGTTTGGTTTCCACCCATTTTGGGATGTAATTAGTGCCTGAGGATGAATCTTTTGCTAGTTGGTGCTCTAGACAAGGGAGTGACTATGTCTAGGCCCTACTAGGCGAATGGCCAATGACTTGTTAATGGGTTTAGGTCCTTGGCTGGTTTCCTGGCAATAGGCGCGTGTTTGGCACTTATCACACTTCTGAACATACTCCCGTGTGTCCCTTTGCATGTGGCACCAATATCCTTGTGACATAACCTAATGGGCCATTGACATACCACCCATGTGCGGCCCACATGCCTTCGTCAATTTCAATTAGTCAAGGCTGAATCTTTCTTCAGTTGCGTAGGGCAAGTAAGGTCCTGATAATGACCTTCGATAGAATTTCTGATCAGGAGATACCTAGAACCTTGGTGCCTTAAGCCATACCTTACGAGTTTCCTATTTGTAAATTGGAGGATCCTCAGTTTATAGGTATTGGAGGAAAGGATCCATCCAGTTGGAGCAACTTCTTTAATACTGGTTGAAATGCTCTCGACATCACACAATATTATTAGAGTCAAGAGATTCTCCAAAGTTATACTCCTCATAACCTCAGTTTTGAGAGCCAAGGCAAGGAATGCAAGGGACTTTGTGGGATTTTTTTGAGGCTCTAAAGCCGACGTATATTTCTTATCCTATAAGGCTCCCTTGTGGAGAGATCAAAGTCATGCCAAAGGGAGCCGTGCAAACCATTCAGTCTTGCCATAGGGAAGCTATCATCTTCTACTCTACCAATGGCATCAAGGATTCGATAAGAAAAAACTTACTAGGATCCAAATATATTGTACTCAAATTCTTGAGGTCGAGCTAGTTCTCCTTAGAGGTGACTCTTGCCTTTACAGCAGCGTAAATACAATTTTTATATGAAGTTTGATCTTTGTTGATCCACATGATCCCTTTCGGAGTGGGAATTTCAGCTTTTGGTGGTAGTAGGAATGCACAAAGTTGAGTGCGTGTAGCTATCCATGTCCTTCTGCTTGATGTTTTTCGTTGTAGTATCCT